AGGAATGTAGGAAGAGAGGTGGAATGCCCTCCAGGTAGCCTCCAGGTAGGAAAGGAATGAAGGAAATTAGGAAGGAAGGATGACACACGACCATTTACCTAGGATAACTACATAAAACACAACTGCCTGCTAATACTTTGAAGAAAACTGCTCAGACGAGGTGTTTTGTCTTTGCACATAAAAAAAAATTCAACAAAAATGCACACACACTGATTTTATGTGTGAGAGTGTAAAACACCATTGTGTATGACACCATGTTTTATGTGTGAGAGTGTAAAACACCACTGTGTATGACACCATGTTTTATGTGTGAGGAGTGTAAAACACCACTGTGTATGACACCATGTTTTATGTGTGAGGAGTGTAAAACACCACTGTGTATGACACCATGTTTCACAGAGTTCCACAAGCTACAGAACTTCTAGGAGTATGTTCAGTGACTGTATATTGGTATATATATTATAGAACAATAGTAATAAACAATTTTTTGTATTGTTTGTTTTTGTAAACAAGTTTTGTAAACAATATATTGATAATTATGTTTGTGTGCTTATTGTGTTGTATACAACGAGTGTATATATGTACATTGCACCTTACTTTGGTCTCACAGGCCACATAAGTTATGTGAAAAAATAAAATAGTGAAAAAAACAACAAACCTTCAAATACAAGTAAACTAAAGTTTACCGGGTGAGCGGCAGTCGCCGCTGTTGCCATACATGGCTCATTTTCTGCAAACTTCATGCCTCTATATCTCGGTAAGTACTGATGGGAAAAATTTTTTTTTGGGACTAAAACAATCAGAAAAATAATCTTAACATTTTCATAAGAAAAAATAATTTTTTTTTTTCGAATATTTTGCGACACCAGGAGCAACTTCAGGATTGGGCCCTTCGACAGTCAAAGGGTTAATTCATTCCAAAAGACATGTTTACCTCAAAACTATTGTAACTTAAACCCCAAAATACACGGTTTTATGACAATTCATTTCAAGGCCCTAGAAAAAAAAACTTTTACTGTACCTTGCACTGGAAGAGCTGCTGGTGGTGGTGGTGGTGGTGGTGGTGGTGGGGAGAGAGGTTACTGGCTGAAAGGAAAAGTTCCTTTCAACTGCTGCCTCTTTAACCCTTTGACTGTTTTCGACGATAATAGTCTTACGACCCAATGTTTCTGACTATGTATATCAATAATTCTGCGACTTCAAAAAAGGGGGGAGAAAGCGGGTCGCCCACATGGAGAGAAGGGTCTGTGTGGTCATGTGCCCCAATAAAAAAAATCCGCAGTACACTTTGCTAATGAAAAAAAAAAAAATGATCGTTTTTTTGGAATAAAAGCCACTTTGAGGTGTATTTTCTATAGTATTTATCGTTGTTTCGCTTTTTTCATGGTTTAGGTGATAAAATGGAAACTTTTTTAGAAATAGAGATGATTTTCATTACTTTGATGATGAAAACGACCTTGAACTGAGCCAAAGTAGGGGGAAAAGTTCGTTTTTTCCCCAATGTTCAGGGGGTAAATAAATCACACCACACTCCAATACACGTCAACTGGGGGGTCTAAATTCTTTCATTCCGATTTTTTTTACCTTTTTTACAAAAATTGCAGTAGTCGATAACAGAAAGTTTGTATTTTTTTGTAGAAAAAAAATCAAAATAGAAAGCAAAATAATATAAGGGGGCCAAGAGTGTGACTAATGAACAGAGCAATGTTATTTTAGTGCATAAAGGTTCCCTTTGTTTATTCTGGCCCCTTTTTTGAAATTGGCTTTTTTTGGGGGTAGTCCAAATTATAAAGGGGAGGTTTCTTGTATAGCTGTAGTAAAAGGGAAATTTCTAAAAAAATACTATGAGTTTGGTCAACTGGAACAATGGAATTGGGCTGAAAATGGGGCTAAAGTCGGCGAAACCCCAAATCACATTTTGTCACGAGCCCGCTAACTTTGCGGGGGCAAAAATTCCCCATGATTTTAAACCCAAAAATTTCGAATTTGGTTCATTACATGGGAAAAAGATTCTTATTTTTTATGAAAAAAAATTTTTTTTTTTTTCAAAAAATGAGCGAATAAAAATGACAGTTTCAGAAAGGGCCTGAAACAGTAAAAAGGGTTTTTAAAAAACCGTCCAGAGTTGTTTTCTTTTTCTGTCCACTTTCTTTGGGCATTTGAAAAAGATATACAAAACATTATCTTCATTATTATAATAAAAACTAATCAAAACCCCAACAGGGTCATACAGCAGGACATTATCTTCTAAAAACAGAAAGTGAGTTCATTTTTTTTTCAATGTCTGAGGTTTGCTTATGATTCTTTTCACCCCTTCCCCAAATGAGTAAAAAAGATTTCTGCTGCTGTTACCCTTTGGGTTTATCTTCCTCCAAATCTTATCCCCCTGCCCCCTTTTCATTTTCCCTTTTCCTGGAGTTTTCAGTTGAACTGTCTGGGTTGAATTAATTTCCCCATCTTCATAATCAAACTCCAGCCCCAATGCCCACCAAGATGAAATATCCTGTTTACATCCTTCTCAGCCCCAAATCCTTTAAATATGATACCGAATGTCACAAGTTCACCAGGCTGGTTAAGGGACGGGGAAAAAAGGGGGGGGGTTCCCCCCTTTGGGGGAAACTTTTTTCAGGGAATTTTTAGGGGGGCCTGTCTCCTTAAGTCTCTGAAAGCCCCTTTAAAACATCTTGGTGTAAATTTCTTTAATTTTTACAATCATTGCAGTCCATAGGCGAAGTAGAGGTGGGTGTAAGTTGTGTGTACATATCCAATTTTTTTTAAAACTCGAAAGTCCTTTATGAGGGAATAAAACTCAAAAATTTTATAAACCAAGACCACGTACCAAGGGACCCGTATTAACAATAATGATTTAATATAGATATAAAGCTCTTAAAAAACAAAAAAAAAAAAATTAAAATTTTTTTTACTTCGAAATTTTGCGTATTTTTGAATTTGAATTTGAGAGACCTTTTGGAACCCAAACCCTTAATTTGGATGGGGAAACTAAAAATCATAAACCGGAGTCTTTTTTTACACAATTTGGGGGCACCTTATTATTATTTTTTTTTTTTTATTAACAACCCGGGCCATTTCCCACCAACAGGGGGGCCCAAAAAAAGAAAAACTTTCATCATTCACCCCAACTGCCTTTCCCGGACCGCTTACATACAGTTAAAAACTGCAACTTAACACCCTTCTTCGAGTGCCGGGGATGTATTCCCCCCTTCCCGGAAACAAGTCTGGGCCCGCCATTTCCCCAATTCCTTCATAAATGTTACTTTCTTACACTCCAAGCATGTCGTCCTAAAAAACATTTTTTCCCTTTGCTCCTGATGCTCATGCCATTGTGGAGTCCAAGCCCTTTCACCAAAAAATCCTTTTCCCCCTCCCTCCAACCTTTTCCCAAAAAACCCAACCCCCCCCCGCTTTCCCTCCACTACAGATTTATCTTTTCCAAGTCTTCTATTTTGTTCCCCCTCTCTACAGGGCCAACCATCTAAACCAAAACCCCCCTCTAGTGTCTGGGTAAAGTTTTGGAATCCCGCCCTTTCCAAACCCAAATATGGATTTTTGCATTAATTCACACCCACATTGGCCCCCATTATTATTTTAATCAAGGGGGGGAAACGCTAAACCCAGAGGATTTTACAGCGCCGGGGGGGGGGGGGGGGTGTGGGAAAGGGATTCAGGTTTAATTGGGGGGAAATGGGGCACAGCCAATTCCCAAAACAAAGGGCCCCTCACCAACATCAAAACCCCTTGAGGGAATTGCCCTCGACATGACTCTCCACTGCCTCCAGCTTTCCCTTGTTGCCTTCACCCCCATGCCTCACACCCATATAAGTGTGTTAGTATAAATACTTCATACATTCCCCTCACGATTCTGTGATTTACCTCATTTTATAACCCACTGCTGACAATTCCCCCCCAAATATCCAAAAAACATTCACCTCCTCAAACTCTCTCCCTCCAATTGATACTAATCTTCCTTTTAAATTTTTGGTTTTTTCCCCCCTTTTCCCTTCCCTTTTTTTTGCTTTTAATTTCTTTTTTTAAACCTTACCAAACTCATGAACCCAACCCCTGAACTTTTCTTATTATAATTATTTAATTGAACACCCAAAATAATAGGGTCAAAAGGGAATAATGGGGAAACATATCTGTCCAAAAAGGGGGGGATAGCTTATTAGGGGGGTATATGGCAGCCACGAACCAAAGTGGTGCCCGCTTACAATGTCACTTGGGTTAGCCAAAACATTGCTTACCAGGGAGAAAAGAGTGATGCAGACCCGCCAACTAATTTGTGGGATCAGCATGATCCCCCCTTTGACCCCTTTTTCTTTCCCCTAAAGAGTGTGTTGCCTCCTGCAGACCAAGATAAGGTCTACCAACTTTCAGGCAAAAGGAAATGAGGAATTATGGGTCCAGTGCACAGCAAAAAACAAATCTTTAATTGGCCCCTACATGCCCCTTGCCATCCCGAGGGGGTCTAAACCACCCATT